CAACAGGTTGGGAAGTCGGAAGGGAAAGGAGCTAGCATGTTCAGCAAACTAATGACTATAGGATGTCAATCTGGGGCTGTTAAGGCCACCTAGATAGCAGTTTAATGCAATGTTTGTGCACTTCTACCCTGACATGGCCCACAGCTTTGCAGGCAAGAGGCATCCTGTGACAGCAAATCGTTGGTTGGTCATGAATAATGATTCTGATTTCAGGCTCTGTTTGCACTGAGTAGAGAACAATTTGATCAATACTGTTCCTTTAAAAGCTTAAATGAAGAACTACCCATGTTCCATGGCCTTTATATACAGTGCTGCAGGTGTCTAAACAGCAGTGTTAGCTGAGAGGATGAAAAAGAACAATCATTTTATTCACTGTTAATAAAATTAGCTTTAACCAAAGGTTGTATATTTTTCATATTAGTGAATGTGAAGAAAATAACAAATGCAGCCAGCCACGTTTTTCTGTGTAATAATGTTTATGTTATTATTTGTGAATATCTGATGGTATTGATTATGTATGATGGCTTTGTTAACCTTAAAGATATTGATGCCGTGTTAGAATCTACCTAAACACAACCATTTTGTGATGTCACCTGTGCTACTTGATTGCCTGGCAGCTGACACCAGGTACATCTGTAAGCTGCCATTTGTTTGACATACAAAGACTTAATTGAGAGGCTCAATTGCTTTCCACAGCAAGATAGAATGTTGAATAAAACTCAAGACAAACTAAACTAAAATGAAATGAGGTGATTTAATCCTGTCAGAATCTACTGAAATACCTCCCAGTATGACCTTTGAAATGACAAATTGTGTGAATTATTCCAAGCAGCTTCTGACCTCTTGTCCTCCTTTTTTGGTTGCTGTAAAATGAGACATGACAGTTCAAAGTGCATTTCTTTGGCAGACTGCACTACTCAGAAAAATGACTGCTTTGGTCTTTTGTTCAAACTCTCAAAACAACCTACAGTATGTTTCCATTTTTCTGACAAGCGACCATCTTTACTCAGGTGAGGAAAGTGACAGTAGTGTTACCATAAAGGGAATCTTTCCATAACCATGTCCAAGTAGTTATGCTACTTAAACTTAACTATGGGGCTGGCAGATCATAGAACACTTTTTTTCTTCCTATCAGTTTGGGAGACACTGACAAACAAGCTATTTTGTATTTTAGATGCTAGAAATGGTAAATATCAGGTTGAAAGGATGAAAACAACTTTTCTAACCATGAGTTGTTTTGTGAATTGGTAACACAAAGGCTATTATTCCCTACAGTGCTGTCAGAGAGATCGCGGGAGTCTTCTGATGTATTTGACAATGAATAATTTTTAGTGCAGTTGGACGAGAATGGCTTTTATCATATAAATAGAGGAAGAAGAAGTAAAGAGTAAGTAAATAGGCTTCAACAAATCTATTTTCTATGTTTACCTCTTATAATACCTCCACAGCCATCATGCATAGTAATGGTTTGATTATTGTTGCGTAGTCTTGAATTTTGTGATCTTTAATCCATTACCCAGACAATTTTAGCTGTGTTGTAGGTGTTCCAGCAATAATCTAAAGTTGATAATGCATCTAAAACATACCGTTCTGTTTATTGGCAACATCGGTGCAGTCTTGGTATCATTTTAATTGTCACAATAGACCTGTTCAGATTTGCTAAATCTGATAAAATCTGTCCATTCATTATAGCTTATCCATTGTGGCAGCAATCTAGACATGTCCTCCATCTTCTCCTCTGCAATCCCAAGGCATTCAAATGCCCATAGGCGAGCCCAGGCAACCTGAAGAGGAAACTTATTTCAGCTGCCTGAACCTGCTATCCCGTTCTTACCCAATGCCCCACAGTTTGAGAACTACCTAACTCATGAACATGATCCCAAGATATTGTTGCTGACTCTAACATCCTAATCCCTTTACACTTGGTTGCAAACTATAACATATAACATGTTCGAATGTCATTGTCTAAGGAATCCAATGGAAGTAGGTCATTGGCAGAAAGCATAAATGCAACCATGGGGAAATTCACACTCCTCGGCTGATACTAAGGCTCTATAAACAGCATTGGTGACAAGATACCCAGAATCAATGGACACATAATAACTCTGAATTGCATTTGATCCTGCCCCCATAATTCCACAGTACCAAAGCAAAAGACATTTGGGACTTTATAAGACTTCTCCAAGTCCAGAAAGAAAATCTAAGAGGGAAAACTGTTTTTTTTAAATTAATTTTAATGTATCACCACCATCATCTTTGTGAGCGGCACCAAATTATTTAGGAGTATTTATGTCTTTTATGCATTTATCTGTTTGCTTATACTGTATGAGGAAAAATAGAGTGTGTTGTTTGTGAGAGTGAATTGGGAAATTTTGTCTTCATGTTACTTGTAGGAGGGATGTCAGTCTTTGAATTAATCCATTCTTATTTGAGCAATTATTATAAGTATAGTTATCAGTTATGTCTGTTGCAGACAGCTATTGCTACATGAAAGTACAAAAGAAAAGAAAATTGCTGGCATGCCTAATAACTTGAACAGTCTTAGAATTCTGATTTGGATGGGGTATCGGCTTGAATTAATGTTAGTCATTATAACCATTCAATGAATGCTCATGTATAAACTTGAAGAAAAACACAAATAGGGAAATAGGGAAAACTGGAGTTTGCAGATAGTAAATTAATTAGAATGGAAAATAATAATATACATTTAAATAGAAAAGACAAGTAAAACATCTATAATTGGCTTTTTATAATGTATTGAATTTGTAATGGTGACTAGGCGTGTGCCACACCCAGATCTTTTTGACTGGCCTGTCATTAATCTGAACTTCTTTTTGATAACTGCAGCTGATACTCAGGAGGAAGCCTCCTTCCCTTCTTTCCTCTCAGCACGTCTCTCTCTGCTTTTGCTGTGGGTGTCTGCAACCGCATCCCTTGTCTCGTCTTGTCTTCATCTAAAAGGTTGCTCATAATGCCAAACCCACACAATGACCACCCTTCTCTGCTGTTCTTCACAGATTTAGGCCACTTTCAACTAGTTGATTTTTTCCCCAGGTATGGACCAAAAAGCCAGCATATAAAGAAGACTGTATGCTTGGGTCTCACCACTCTCACTTGTCTACTGCAACATCACTGCTCTGCCTGAATGTACTAACCTAAAGCTATGCCCCATATTTTACAAGTCTCTTGAACTCTACTGGATGAATGAACACCTTTCTTTCAAAAGGAAAGAACCTGTCTAAATCTCTGACAGGTGTTTAGTTAGGTGGAGATCTGGCAGAGAAGGCCATAGCATATGATTCACATAATTTTCATACTAAACCATTAAACCATTCAATGATCCCCCTACAGAACAGCCTCCATCATCCCTGCTAAGGAGTTAGACCTCAATGTCCAACAGATAGCCTTCTGTTTCAAATTCCCATCGAAGCTTTTGTGGATTTTGTGGAAGCTCAGCTTCAAATCTTGAATCTTTGGTTGATCAAAATCAAGGTAGTGTCTCATTATGCATATCACAGTATGTTGTATACTCTTCACAAGCATTTTACTGTATTCTGTGAAAAAACAATAAAAGCATTTATTATTAGATTTATATGACCATTTTTATCCCTAAATAAATCATGAAGTTCTTTATATGAAGAACAAAAAGTGTTTTCTCCAGTACATAAGGTCTACTGGGGACCAGACATCAGAACCTTTGAAGTTATAGAACAAAGAAAGCACATACTCATTATAAATGCTGTAATAGGTGACAGGTCCAATCTTGCAGACATAGCCTGTGTCTGTTGAACAGTGGATGGAAAATAGGCTTTTAGTATGAGGAGCTTTGAAGTACTCCACCTGCGAACTGCGATCCAACAGCAGAGTACGGATCCAATCTAAAACCACACATAATTCCACCGGTTAAAGGTGAGGTAAACTTCGTTCCATGCTGGTAAAATAAGGGAGCTCAAAATATCACTTTGGCCAAACTCAGGGATGAGTGAGAAGGTACCTGATATTACTGACGCCATCTCCATGTGAATGCAGATAAACTTTAAAGTGCTACTCACGTCACAAACAGGGTTCCATCCACATGTGACTTTTCCATTTTACACAGAACAATAACAAAGGGGTCTACTGCCTCCAGTTTAGTTGTGGCTTAATGGGTGGACTTTTTTTTGAAGAACATGACAGGCAACTGTTTTTGCTCTCAGCATGGTAAAACTCCTTTTAGTCATCCTTGACTGGGCGATCACTGATTGTTTCCATAGTGTCGATAAGAAGAAGAAGAAGAAGACACACTTTATTGATCCCCTAGGGGGAAATTGTTTTTTTCACTCTTTTTTACACACACTTCATGCACATGTGGACATGCAAAGGAGAGAGAGATGGAGTGATGGGCTGCCGCATTACGCGCGTCTCATGAGCAGTTTTCGGTTTCTCCAGCTCTATATTTTGGTCTATTGGGACTTGATAACCGGACAACCCTCAGGTTCCCCAAGCCACAGTCCCTACACACTGAGCTAGTGCCGCCCAACACAGTTGAAGTGCTGTCATTGATACAACTTTTTGCTTCTGTTGGCAAACAACTATATGAATATAATACAGTGACATTATTGACAAGTAAACGGTAAATGCAGCCGCTCAAGGCTCAGGATAAGTCAATGCTGCACTGAGACAAATCAGTATTTTAACGTCATACTGTCAATGGCATCTGTGGACATTTTTTAAAGCTTAGTTATCCACTCCCATTTCAAATGTATTCCCCTCTGACATATAGTGCAGGCCTAATGTTTTGCCAAAATAGAGAAAGAGAAGCATTTCAATTCAGATCTGCTCTTTCGCCCTCTGTCTTTTCACACTTTGTTTCATATACAACACATTCAGCTGTATATATTCATATTATTTTCATTAACTTAAAATCCAAAAGTTCCTAATCAATGCCCATATCAGGTTTTCCATTACAACAAAGAGCGCTGTATTATTCTTTGAATAAAAGAGGTAAATTGTATCAGAAATCAATCATCACTTGATTACAGTGTATCAGTTGTTGAACTTGTGTCTGTGCATTAGAATAGAAACTCACTCTTTCCTTCATTTGAACTGACGATGATGCCTCAGTTGTGGGATATGTGGTATTCTTTGTATTTCTTTTCCAGTCTTCCCAGGTTGGTGGGATCCACATTCCTGTTTACTAGTTTTCTATTATTTTTTCCCCTCATGTGTTTACTGTTCTTCAATGGATATAACACATTTAATTATTGTGGAAATCTATTACTTTCTTTCATTTATCTTGAGATGCCACAAAAGGTTTTTTACACATACAATTTTTTATTATTCTGTAAGAAAGATAAAGTATTTCTCTTTCGTATTATTATCATTATCTACTATTTATTTATTGACTTACTATATTGTGTGTGTGTGTATTGTCTTGTTTGTTCTGACGTCTGCCATGTTTTGTGATTGACATTTGATCTGCTTTTCACTGTGTTAAAGTATAGTACATTGACCTTCAACCATCGAAAGCAAACCACTTTGCTATGACTCACAGGAACAGTCTTAGGTTGACATATAGTGCCCTCCTGTGTTAAAATAGTAAAATGCACACACATACAGGCAGCCACAATGGTGTATGTTTTTTGAATGCCAATGGCAATTATTTCTAAAACAATTATTTGATAATTAAAATAGAAATGACACATTGATTGACTGATCTTCATTTTGGTCTTCTTATATGAATAAAAACTAAAAAAGAAATGAACAGCCACAGAATTGTATAGATTTGATAAAATTTATAAAATAAAACGTTAAGGGCTAAACTGAAGAGTGGGCAAAGAGAAATTTAAATAGGTGTGTGAGCTGTGGGTGATTTCTTCCGTACGGTAAAAGGCTAACCTTGTTTTTTTAAAACCTGCATGATGTAATGCAATAATATTGTCACCACTGATAAAGTTGATGCCCAAAACCTTAAAAAAAGCGCCGAATTGTAATAAAGTAGAAGTCATCGTTTAATTATATTCACTTCAATTGTCATCATTTTAAAAAGTATTTTTTTCGTGTGTGGTCCAATTGTAGCTCAAGGCAGTAATTTCTGTCACTGATAAATTCTTTCAGAGATGCAACAGGCCTGTAAGCCACAAACTGACACTAAACTGTGAAGGCGTTATATGATTCTGACTTACTTCACACTCAGGAACTGAGTGTGCTTGCATGATAGCACAAATTATCTCAAACCTTTGAAAGACAAGTTAGCAGGGAGGAAATCAGAAAACCACAATGGAAAAATAATAAGCCTACAACCACAGGCCATCTTTTTCCATGTAACTGCTCTTCACTGTCTAACATGCCTTTTATGTTCAGTGTTTAAGTTTTTCTGGAAGTTAAAAGATTTAGTATCTACATATAATTATGCACAATTGTATATCATCTGTATTTTTTACCACAGTGTGAAATAGTTTCCATGATGTCTTATTTCTATAGAAAATGCAGTAACATTAACCTACTTACCTGGTTAGTTTGCAAATGGGTTATATAATGAAATTAGAGTGATTTTAGATACCAGAATGAGTATAAAACTGCAGCACTCACAAGGCAATAAGCTGTAATATATTGAGTACAGTAGTACTAGGGTAATAACATTGTAATTACACAGGTATTAATAGCCTGGTAATAGCTTGTGATAATGAGGTTAAATTTCTGTTATGGCATAATGCTGGGTAAAAACATTTCAAGGTTATAATGGGGAAAAACATTACTTAGTGGTATTAGTTTTATTATTAATTTTAACTATATTACACCATCTCTAATATTATTTTACATATAGTTATATAACTAAATTTTTATTGATAACCAGATTTTTGTGAGTTAACCTATTGATAACCTGTTATTATCATGTTATTACTGATATTTTCTACTTTTGTTTTTATTTATATGTTCTTTCCAATGTGATACATATCATATTGCTAGGTTCTTACTAAAACACAATACAGTTTGATCATTTGCATACAAAAACATAATGAGACATTGATTAAATGTTATCATCCTACTGTTAAACTTCTTAAATGACACAAAAACATTATTAGTTTGATAGTGTATAGAGGAGTCAAACTTGCCAGTTACTCTAGTATGACAGCACTATGTTAAGGTAATAATTCAGTTATACTGATATGTCACACTGTTAAATGTAATTGCCCAGCTGCTTCACTGCTCTTGTTATTTTCCACTTTTTGACACTGCCTGTACTGCTTTGATCCACTCCTTTCTTTCCTCGGCTGTAGCAGCTTGGAGGAAGTAGTGAGTCTCATCAGAGGTGATGATCTCAAAGAGGTTACCGTCAATGTCGTATTTTTTGGCTGAAACCAGGAAAAGAGGAGGAAAAGGAGTTAAAAGGGACATGTTGAAGAGAAGCTACTGACAGTAAAGAGCAATTAAATTTCCTGGTTGCAGTCTGTCACAGTGGGGAAGCAACATGGGGCATGTGTATTTCACTCACCGTCAGGCACGTACTCCACAGCTGTAACTACAGATCCACGGAGATGGATTGAGCCCAGAGGGTCATCACCCTGACACAAAGAAAGAAAAGGAAGCAGAAAGTAGGAACAATAAAGATTATGTGAGAAAAAGAAACTCTGAACATTTTATGGAAGTAGTATTCAATATATGTACCTTTGTAGGGTCATAATAATGCATGTAAGCAGGGTCGTCTCTCAGTATGAACTTTCGGACCTTCCAGTTTTTTCTCCTATGTCCCTGTGATAAAAAAACACAACAAATGTTTGATCTGATTTGATGAACACCCCTAGCAAATGTGGCATCTTTCCAAGCAAATATAAGGGACACTTCCTCTTTCCTCTCAGTGTCAAAGTACTTGTCTAAATTTAATGACAAAAAGTTATCACTTTTCACCGCAGGATTGTGTTATTTTTACCCACAAGTCTGTGAATGTGAGAGTTCCTTTGAAAAGTGGTGCTTCTCATCAAGAGATTCTTATGTGTGCTCACAGTGTTTATACCTTGTTCATTAATTCTGTAAAGGCACACAACAAAAACACTACAACACTTTTACTTGTTTTTTGATTTACCTGTTTAAGTAAACAGCCCTGTTTTATGATGTTTCCTCTGAATTCTTCCTTCACAAGCACATCTTCATCACTAGAGTAGCCTTCACAGAAGAACCCACTGTCTGCCTGCCAAAAAGCATAGCCATCCACACACACATCAAATATAGATAGAAATAAATAGCACAAAACACATCCACATGAAACTGACAATCAGTACTCACAAAGTAATAAAGAGCATTTGTGTGATCTAAGAAGGCTGTTTGCTCTGCACTCTCTGCTCCGTCTTTTGACATGTCACCCGCAGGCTGGAGAAAACCCTCATTCAGGAGCCCTGTTGCTAACATGAGGGCCTCAGGTCTATTTCTTGCTTTTCCTTTTGAAATCAGCCACTCTACCACTGTTGCACCTGTGTAAAAATAGGGAAGGAACGGGGGGGAAAGTGATACAGTTAGAAGATAAAAAAAGAAAAAAAAAAACTTCTTCCACACCTGTAACATCAATAAAACCAAGACAGTACCGGTGAAACAGTGGTTAAAGACACGATTGTCCTGCTCCAGTTTTAACTCTCTTACTCCATCATCTTGGTCTTTCATCAGTGTGTACAGCTCACTAAGAAAAAACAATGGAGACACAGTCAATATGTATTGCCATTCTATCATTCTATCACTAAGCACAAGCAATTGAGCATTCACTAAACCTCTGTCCAAAATCATGAGTGTCTAAGCAACCATAAGTAGACAAGACATGCGGAACTGGTGTGGTCTACTGGTAGGAGCTAACGGTCATAAAATACTTTTTTTCACGTCCGTTCCGGACAGACACATACAGCATAATGTGCAGCGGTCCAGCTACTTATCATGTTATAGTTAGTGGCTAATTTCAATGCATTTGGGGAAGTTTACACTCCAGGAATAACATCCAAACTCATTAGTTGCCAACCACATTAGTTAGTCCTCATCCATGCAGCCTTTTCTCATGCAACTTTAAAACATATTGTTTGAAACAACAGTAAAACACAAATCTAACCTGTGTGTTTCTTGTCTATGTATGGTTTCCTGTAATAAACTAACCTTAAGCATGTGATATCCACTGAGCTGTCAAGTGCATATTTAACACCTCCTTTCAGGTTTGTCTTTTGCCACTGAAAGTTTTTCACTCACAGAGTTACAGCCAGCAAAATCAATAGTCGATAGAAGCCTGGTTTTGTATGCCTTTGTCTGAAATAAAAGACATTTTGAGTGACCTTTCGCCATTATCGTTGTAAACTAGGCTCTATGTCCCAGGGACTACGGGTGGAAAATAGCAATTTGCTAAAACCCAGTGCAATGCATCTCTCCTTGTTATATACAGGGTTAATGTTTTATTGTGCACTGTCCCTGTTCAAATAAAATAAATAATAATAATTTGCTGGTCAAGATTGGAACGCTTGACAGGTGTAACACCAGCAACTAGCTGAGTCAAGAGTCAATTCATAGAATCAAATGAATCCATTAATAGGTCTTTTCAAGTAATTGTTTCCACCACGAGGAAGATTTTGCAGAACATACGTCAGGTTGACTGTTTCAGGCAGGCGAATGGAGCGTCTTGTGGACTTCCTGGCAAACTTTTTTCCTCCCTGTATGCAGGTAATGGCCCTCTTGATGTCCTTGACCCAAAACTCTCTCTCCTCCACATGCGAGGCTTGGAAGAAGTGATCCTGCTTCTTCTCTGTGGTAATCTTGAAAACCAACTAAATAGAACCATATTAGTCAGTCACGCTGTTATATTTTCAGTTTTTTAATGACTTATTTTGCTGTCTTTAATTAGTAAAATCCTCAAATTCCGTAATTGTAGTTTTAAACTCACTAATCCT